GCGGGAGGGGGAACTTCCGGCCCCGCCCCGGAAGCGGGGCAGAGCGGGGCGGCCGCGATGGTGTTGAGACGCCTGGAGGGTGTTGCGGTTCCGATCGCTGGACGAGTTCCACGGGGAAACATCGGGCCCTGTGCTCCGAGGTTCCGGCACCAGGGTGGTGTCCTAATTCAGGTCACCCCGCGTCTAACTCTCCCCTCCTTCCATCTTCTTAGGTACCGAGGATCAAGTCTTCTTAGGTACCGAGGATCAAGTCTAAGCCGTGTTCCTCGGACAGCCCCGGCGTTCTCTCCACTATCCTCTATCTTTTCTCTCTTCACTGTTTCTGTTCAGCAGGAATCCCCAGCTCACCCCTGCTTGATCCAACCATTCCTCCCTCTCCAAACCTCGCTCTCTCAGAAAAATCACCAAAAAAAGTCCAGTTCCCTAGCAGCAGCAGTGTTGGTGGGGGGCTCCTCTCCAGGAAACTGCTAGCTGCTCAAGACCCTGTCTAAAAGCTACCAGCTTGTGAAGGACACATCCTTACCCCTAGGCTTACAGGGTATTTAATCCCCTCCTTTAGACAGACCATGTGATTTTTCTCCTACCCTCACCCCCCACCTTATCCCTGGGCTGGAGGGTCACCTGTGAGTGCATTGCCTAAATAAACCTGGTCCTTTACTTGATCTGGCTTATTGCATCGGCGGAGAAACCTATCATTGGGGTACAGAAGCCTTTCATGTTGGTGCCAGAAGCCTGGGAGTTGAGCCTTCCTCTCTGGGAGGACCCAGTTCCTCAGCCACGTCGGAGGCCACTCTTCAGATGGGATCAACTTCTGCCTTCCTATTTTTGACTCTGCATCGTTTGGAAGCAAAGACCCGTTTTCTATGGTCACATTGTTCTAATCTTCGGTCTCTGGCACAGGCTTGCAAATGGGCAGCTGCTGGTCTAAACCCGATCCTCAGACACCCCTGGGGTGTCTAATGCAAAAGGTATCCAAATTGGAGCTGTTTGACACCATATGCCCAGAAGGCTGACTTCCTTTTTGCTGTATGGCCTGGCCTCAGCACACTCTTGATAGCCAGTCAAGATGGCCACCAGAGGGAACTCTTGACTTTAACATCCTCCATGATCTTGAGACTTTCTGCCTGCGAATGGACAAAAAGTCTGAGCTCCCTTACATCCAGAGTTTGTGGGTTCTGTGCTCCTGCCCCTTCCTCTGTGGCCAGTGCCTCAACGGCCTAGGTTTTGGCTAGGGTTGCAGCTCCTCCAGGCCCCCGTTTATCTGGGGACTTGGACCCTGACCACGCTCCACCCTGACCCTGCCGCACGCACTGGCATCTCCACCCCTAACCCTACCACCCTTCCCCCTTCTACACTGCTACATGCTCCATTCAGTGGCCAAGAGCCAACCTTCTTCCCTTTACCCACCCTTTCCTCCATTCTACCCCCTCTGGGACAAATTCTTTCCTTTATCCACCCCTTCCCCCTTCTTCCTCCTCTAGGACAAAGGTCGAGGGCCAACTTCCCCTTACCCACCTTCCTCCCCCTCTCTCCTACTTTCCTATCCCCTCCCCATTCTTCAATGACATAACCTGCATCCTGGTCCCCACCCACACACTGGCCCACTCGCCCTGAATCCTCCCCAGTGCCTTCCCATACTCAGTCTCGACAGACCACTGCCTTCCTCTGCCCCCTCTAGGAGGTGGCTGGAACTGAGAGAATTGTTCAAGTCCATGTCCTTTTCTCTCTTCAGGACCTCTCACAGATAGGAAAGTGGTTGGGTTCCATCTCTGCTAATCCTTCTGTCTATATCAAGGAGTTCTGTTATCTTTCCTAAGCCTATGACCTGACCTGGTATGACCTCTATGTCATCCAGGTCTTCACTTCTCACTCCAGAGGAGCAAGGTCAGATTCAGGCAGCAGCTAGACAATATGCAGACCAAACCCACCTAGTGGACAATACGGTCCCTGAGGGTGACCTGGAGGTGCCAGCTGCAGAACCCTACCAGAGTTATGAGCCAGGTCAAAATGGCCACCAGAGGAGGGACCTCTTGGTCCTCTGCCTCCTTCAGGATATGGAGATGCTCTCAAACAAAGTTGTTAATTTTGATAAGCTCCAAGAGATTACACAGCAAGCCGACGAAAATCCAGCCATTTTTCTAAATCGACTTAAAGAGACTGTGGTTCAATATACCCACCCTGACCCAGCCTCCTCAGTGGGAGCCACAGTCCCGGCCATCTATTTCATTTTATCACTAGATATTAGAAAGAAATTTTAAAAAGGCTGAGGAAGGTTCCCATCCCCCCATACAGGAGTTGGTGAAAATGGCTTTTAAGGTTTTTAATGCCCGAGAGGAGGCAGCAGAGTCTTCCCAACAGGCTCGGCAGCAACAGAAGGCTACGTTCCAACCTCACACCCTGGCAGCTGCCCTGAGGCCATCGGCACCCCCACAAGGGGGAACCAGGAAAGTCCACAGGGCCACATACCGCTGGAGTACAGCCAAAGCCAACTCCACCGGGGGCCTGCTTCAAATGTGGCCAGGAAGACCACTGGTCCCAGTGCTACCCTGACCTTCAGCCTCCAACAAGGCCATGCCCCATCTGCCGGCAGCCTGGCCACTGGAAATCAAAATGCCCCATGGGGGCTCGTCCTCTATGCCACGCCATGGAGGTCCAGCCTCACCAGCACAGGCATCTGAGACTCTTCCAGCCTCTGAGCTACTCAACTTGACAGAGGACTGATGCCACCCAGACTTGGAGGCTCCCACCACACTTGCCGAGACTAGGGTAATGCAGATAAGTCCATCACCCTCCTGGTGGATACAGGAGCTACCTATTCTGCCATGACCTCTCACTCAAGTACCACAGTTACCTCACCAATTTCTGTCAAAGGGGTGGATGGGATCCCCTCCTTTCCACTGAAGACCCTGCCATTTCCCTGCATTCTTGCAGGACAATTCTTCTCACCCTTTTCTAGCCATACCCATTTGTCCTGTGTCTCTGCTTATCCGTGATATCCTCAGCTGCTCTGGGACAACCCCCACCTTGGCCCCAACACTCTTTTGACTTCCATCTTTCCTTAATTTCCTGTCCTGTCCCTGCCCTCCCGTATCCAGTCCATTCCCCAAGTATGGGATATCTCCACCTCAGTGGTTACTACCACCACCAGCCAGTCCTAGTTTGCCTTAAGGACCCCTCCTCCTTCCCTTCCAGACCCCAGTTTCCTATTTCTGAAACCCATCACTGAGGCCTCAAACCCATTATTACTTGACTTTTATCTCAGGGACTTTTACTTCCTATCAACTTGCCCTGCAACACTCCCATTCTCACCAAGCGTGAGCCCATGCTTACAGTTTAGTTCAGGACCTCCGCCTCATTAATGAAGCAGTTATTTCAACCCACCCAGTGGTCAACAACCCCTACACCCTTGTTTCTAACATTCCTCCTACAACTTCCCACTTTACCGGCCTGGACCCGAAAGATGCCTTTTTATGGTCCCTCTATGCCCTGACTCATATTTTCTCTTTACCTTCACCTGGAGGACCCTCCAGACAGCTTACATGGACAGTCCTTCCTCAGGGTTTCCAGGACAGCTCCCATTACTTTGGCCAAGCCTTGGCCCTTGGGATCTTTCCACCATTGGGCCCAGTCCTAGCACACCCCTCCAGTAGGTAGATGACTTTCTTCTCTGTAGTCCTTCCATGTTCCTCACTACCTCAGCTCCCTGGGATTTCATGTTTCCCCACCTAAGGCTCAGCTCTGCTCTCCCACTGTCGTGTATCTGCGAGTTCAGCTCAGCCCAAGTTCTAAACACCACCCCTTCCGTGGCCAAGCTCCTGGAACATGAGTGCTGGTACCACCTCTCCAGGCTCAAGCTGGCGCCTATGGAGGATAAATGGTCTGTCCAGCAACTGGAACCCTCTACCCTCCTGTTTTCCAAAATGTCCCAATGAAAGGCCTATCTGCTCTTGTGTCTGCCTCTTGTGTCTGTGTCTTGTCTCTTGTACAACCAGGGCACATCTCCATACCATTCTCATTGGCAATCTCCACTCCTACCATGACTAGCCCTGTTCATAGGGCTGGTGATAATAATCTATTTTTTCTCCTAGCAACTTGCCTTCTCTGCCTCCTCAAGGAACAGATTCCTGAGGTCTCTAGGATGGCAGTTAACTGAATGCTTCTTCACCCATACCTCCTGCTGAGCGTGAGTCCACTGACTCCTGACTCCCCCTCTCCATGTCGTCCCATGCCAGCAGGAAGTAGCCAGATTTGAACCACTGCCCATATATCCAAGAAGGTCAGGATGTTTGGCTGGAATCTCCAGCTCACCCCTACTGGCCATTCCGCCCTCTCCATATGCTGCCTTCTCAGAAAAACTACCAAAAAAAGTTCAGTTCTGTGGTGGCAATGGCAGCTCCTCCCCTGAAGCTGCTAGCTGCTCAATACCCAACCTAAAAGATGACATACTTGGACGCAAACCCAGCTTGTAGAGAACAAGTCACCACCCCCGCACCTACAGGGTATTTAAGTCCCACAGTTTTAGACAAGCCATGTGACTTTTCTCCTGCCTCCCCCCCCCCCGCCCCCTACCCCGCATCTCTGGGGACTGAAGGGTCACCCAGGAATGCTGTGCCCAAATAAACCTGGTCCTTTATAAGTTGGCTTGATTTGGCTTACTGCATCAGCAGAGAAACTTA